AAAAAAAAAAAAAAAAAAAAAAAAAGAAAAAAAAGAAACTTAATCTTGATTCTGCATTAGAAGAGAAATAGAGGTAAGGAAAATAAAAGATGCCCCTCCGAAAGGGATGAGGGTTCTGGGCCAGGGGATGCAATGAGGTGACCCGTGGGGCTGGGTCACAGTTAACAAGGGCAAGAATGGGGTGAGTGGCGAGAGGTCATAGGGACCTATTGGAAAGGGCCACTTCTGGAAGGGGTGTTGCAGAATCACAAAACCCACTTCGATTATTTCAGAGTGAGGTGGGAGCCAGGGAAGACTTTGTTTTGCTTTGTTTTGTTTTGTTTCATGTTTTGAGACAGAGTCTTGCCCTGTCACCCAGGCTGAAGTGCAGTGGCAGGATCATAGCTCACTGCAGCCTCAACCTGCTGGGTTTCAGAGATCCTCCTGCCTCAGCCTCCCAAGTAGCTAGGACTGCAGGCGCATGCACAACCATGCCTGGCTAATTTTCTTTCTTCTTTCTTTCTTTCTTTTTCTCTTTCTTTCTTTCTTTCTTCTTTTTCTTCTTTCTTTCTTTCTTTCCTTCTTTCTTTTTCTTTCTCTCTCTCTCTTTCTTTTTTGAGACAGGGTCTCTCTCAGTCACCCAGGCTGGAGTGCAGTGGTTTCATCTTGGCTCACTGCAACCTCCACTTCCCAGGTTCAAGTGGTTCTCCTGTCTCAGCCTCCCAAGTAGCTGGATTACAGGCATGCACTACCATGCCCGGCTAATTTTTGTCTTTTTACAAGTACAAAAATTTTGTATTTGTAATTTCAAAATTAGAGATGGGGTTTCACCGTGTTGGCCAGGCTGGTCTTGAACTCCCGACCTCAAGTTATCTGCCCACCTCGGCCTCCCCAAATCCTGGGATTACAGGCATGAGCCTCCCAAAGTACTGGGGTTACAGGCACGAGCCACCACTGCCTGGTCCATGAAAGAGTTTTGAGCCAAAGAGAGACATGATCTGACTTTTGAATTTTATTTATTTATTTATTTTTCATTTTTTTGAGACAGAGGCTTGCTCTGTCACCCAGATTGAAGCGCAGTGGTGTGATCTCGTCTCACTGAAGCCTGGACCCTTCTAAGCCCACGCAATCCTCCCACCTCAGCCACCAGAGTAGCTGGGCTACAAGCACGCACCACCATGGCCACTCGTTTCTGTATTTTTTGTACAGATGGTGTTTTGCTCCATTGCCCAGGCTAGTCTCAAACTTCTGGGCTCAAGTGAGCCTCCTGCCTCCACTTCCCAACGTGGTGGGGTGACAGCTGTGAGTCACCGCACCCGGCCGACATGAGCTGACTGAATAGCATTTTTCTGGCTGCCGTGTTGAGAGCAGATGAAAGAGCAGAAGGAGGGAGCCTGGCAAGGAGGCTACTGCAATGGTCCAGGCATGGGATGCTGGGGGCATGGGGCTCTGCCGCCTGTGGTGGCTCATGCCTGTAATCCCAGCACTTTGGGAGGCCGAAGCAGGTGGATCATGAGGTCAGGAGATTGAGACCAGCCTGGCCAATATGGTGAAATCCCATCTCTACTAAAAATACAAAAGTTAGCTGGGCGTGGTGGCAGGCCCCTGTGGTCCCAGCTACTCAGAAGGCTGAGGCAAGAGAATCGCTTGAACCCAGGAGGCAGAGATTGCAGTGAGCCAAGATCGCACCACTGCACTCCAGCCTGGGCGACAGTGCGAGACTCCCGTCTCAAAAAAAAAAAAGACGGTGGCTCTGCTTCTGGATGTATTTTGAAGGTAGAGCTGGTAGGATTTTCCAGTCTATGGGCAGCTAGGAGGAAGTGAAGACAAAGAAGAAGAACAGAAGTAAAGACTGAGGTGCAGGGTCAGTCTGAGGACACACAGAGAGGAAAATGACCAAGGGGGTTGGAAGGTGTGGCAGCTATGTAGGATGAGAATCTGGAATCAATAACACTGTTGCAGCCAAGAGGACAAACTGGCAAAGGAGCCCAGGGAGCCAGACACTGCCAAGATGTAATAGGAAGACTGAGTTTTGACAGCATGATAATCAATGGAATAAGAAAAAAGAAAAGAATTGCATTAGGCCCAGAGAGGTTAAGAGACACCCCCAAGATCACACAGCAAGGCAGTAAAAGGCCAGAACCCGGGATTCTTGGCTTTCCAAGAGCACCTCCCATCCGGGCCACCCCTCACCCAGTGCCTCCCTATCAGGGCTGATGACCTGGTGCCGCCAGCACGGGGTGGGTGGGAGGCCATCAAGGTCCCTCCTGGTGGGTGGGAAAGAACAGAGCTCATGCCAACCATCCTCCCCTGCCCTGCCCAGGCACGGGTGTAGAAGACGCTGTGGGTGAAGTCTCCGTCCATGTTGAGCTGTTCACTCATCCAGGAACCGGAGAACACAAGGTCACAGTGAAAGGTGAGTGGTCTGAGGTGGGACGGACTCCCTAGGCTCTAAAACAGAAACCACCCTTAAACTGGCTTAAGCAACACCCTTTGCTGTTGTTGTTGTTTAATGGTCTATGAAACAAAAATGTTCAGAGGTGGCCACCTTCAGGCATGGCTGGATCCAGCAGGGTAAACAGTGTTATAAGACTGAATCCCACTTTCTCCGTGTCTCAGCCTTGCTTTCCTTTTCATGGCTTTTGCTGACCAGAACACAGATTGGGCTGTATTCAGCATGGCTTAAATAAGATAGAATTAGGTCAGGCACAGTGACCAAGGCCTGTAATCCCAACACTGTGGAAGGCCAAGCCTGGTGCATCACTTGAGGCCAGGAGTTCAAGACCAACCTGGTCAACACGATGAAACCGTCTCTACTAAAAAATACAAAAATTAACCAAGTGTGGTGATGTTTCACCGACATGGTGAAACCATGTCTCTACTAAAAATTCAAATATTAGGGCGGCCAGGTGTGGTGGCTCACACCTGTAATCCCAGCACTTTGGAATGCCGAAGTGGGCAGATCAAGAGGTCAGGAGTTCAAGACCAGCCTGGACAACACGATGAAACCCGTCTCTACTAAAAAATACAAAAATTAACCAATTGTGGTGGGTGCACCTGTTGTCCCAGCTACTCGGGAGGCTGAGGCAGGAGAATCTCTTGAGCCCGGGATGTGAAGGTTGCAGTGAGCCGACATCGAGCCACTGCACTCCAGCCTGGGTGACAGAGTAATTCAAAAATTAGCTGGGCATGGTGGCATGTGCCTGTAATCCCAGCGACTCAGGAGGCTGAGGCAGGAGAATTGCCTGAACCCAGGAGGCGGAGGTTGCAGTGAGCCGAGAACCCGCCACTGCACTCCGGGCTGGGTGACAGAGCGAGACTCCATGTAAACAAATAAAAATAAAATGATAGAATTGGCTTTTCTCTGGGATGACTGACAGTGTAAGAGCAGCCAGCCTCGAGCGGATACGGAGGCTTTGAAGTGTTGGGGATCTGTGCTGCTCCCAACCTTTGTTGTATTTTCACCCCTGACGTGTGTTTGTTGTTGTTTGTTTGTTTTAGAGGTGAGAGTCTCTGTCACCCAGGCTGGAGTGCAGTGGCGCAATCTCGGCTCACTGCAACCTCCGCCTCCTGGGTCAAGTGATTCTCCTGCCTCAGCCTCCTGAGAAGCTGGGACTACAGGCACACGCCACCATGCCCAGCTAATTTTTTTGTATTTTTAGTAGAGACGGGGTTTCCCTGTGTTAGCCAGGATGGTCTAGATCTCCTGACCTTGTGATCCACCCACTTTGGCCTCCCAAAGTGCTG